CAATGGGGAAAATACAAAAACCAAACTCATTCAGTTAAAAAAACATTGGGGGGGTTGCGGTGAGCGCCTGGGTGGCTCAGTCGGTTAAGCATCCAACTTCGGCTCAGGTCATGGTCTCACAGTTCGTGAGTTTGAGCCCCACATCGGGCTCTCTGGTCTCAGCGCAGAGCCCACTTCAGATCCTCTGTCTCCCTCTCTCTCTGCCCCTCCCTGGATCTCTCTTTCTCTATCTCAAAAATAAATAAACATTAAAGACATTTTTTTAAAACCCAGCTTCCTACCAGTTTCTGAAGTTCCTGGTATTTTCTTTCAAGGAAGTCACCAGGTTATTGATTTTTTTTTTTTTTTTTTTCACTCAGAAGGGGGAGACAAAAGTGTAGGACAGCATGATTTCAATGTTTTAAGTTCCGCCTCACTAAAATTTATTTTGTTCACATCGATCACAGAGCAACAGAAGAAAGCTTTGAGAATTAAGGACAAGTAAATTCAACCATGGAAGCTTATGAGCAGCTGGATTGATCCCAGAAAGATCAGTAAATAAATATTTTAAACTTCCACTGACCTTATTAAAATACACTGCCAGAAATATTCTGTTTGAGCCATTCTCATAAATGAGTCATCTTCCAAAAACAGCTGGTAGCAATTTGCTATAAGAAAAAGAGTAGTGACTTAGAAATCAGAAGATTGGGAGGTCTTGCCTTGGCTCATTCACAGGGAGATTAAATGACACGCTAACATGTCCCAGATGAGGCACAAGAGAATTGAATCAGATGATCTGTCTTTAAAAGACCCCTTCATGGGGCACCTGGGTGGGTGGTTAAGCGTCCTACTTCAGCTCAGGTTATGATCTCATGGTCATGATCTCTCGAGCCCCACATCGGGCTCTGTGCTGACAGCTCAGAGCCTGGAGCCTGCTTCTCATTCTGTGTCCCCCTATCTCTCTCTCTCTCTCTCTCTCTCTCTCTCTCTCTCTCTCTCTCTAAAATATTAAAAACATTAAAAAAAATTTTTTAAATACTTTCCTGGCCATTCCCAAGAAAACATCTCTGATGTACCTATATTATTTCCCAGAGAGGCAAAGCGGATACAGAAAATGAGATTTTAAATTGGGGATCCTCCTCCCGGATTTGTTTTTCTCGGCATTGTTTCTGTTTCCATCTGTGTCTCTTCCCCCCTGGGAACATCCTCCACCTTTTCAATTTGCCGTACTCTTTACCATGCAGACCTGTGAATGAAGAGTCAGAACCCCCCGAGGTCGATGCTCCCAGCCGGTGGCATGGCGTCTATGTGAACAGAACATCTCCGACGCCTTCGGAATCTGCGACCACCGTTAAGTCCCTCATCAAGTCATTTGACTTGGGACGTCCAGGTATTTCATCATTTGGTCTCACGAATCCAACTCAAATTCAGACGGTGGCCCCACATACCAAGCTGTCTCTACTCCACACTGGCCCCAAATTAATGCAACCACAAGGGCTCGTCTACATCATTCTGCACGTAGCTGCCGTGTACAAGAGACTTCTGCAGCCTTGCTGAAGCTCCCGTAAGACAACCCTGAAGAGTCTGCGTCACACGTAATACAGCCTCCTCTTTCTCTCCACCTCTTCCTTAGCTTTAATTCCAGACTTGCCATGTTCCTCTTCTGCCTCTATGTCCATTAAACTCAGGTTACCACCACTGGCCTTCTTACCGTCTCATGAGAGTTAGCAGGGTCAGCCGGAGGCTTCATTTCCTAGAAAATGAGATGTTGAATCTATGCATTTGGCTCTCTTGTTGGACACCCCCCGCCGCCGGCCTTGCTCGTCTCACAACATACTGTTAGACTTTTCTCTCCCTGGTCTTGTGTGCGACTGCCTGTTCTGACCTGTCATGCCTGATCTTGATACATTCCCAGATTTTTCTGTAAATGTCTCTCTGGCTCACAGTTCACCGTTACTCACTGTTAACTATGTACGTGAGGAAAATGCATGTTGCTACTCTACGCACATAAATATAGTAGATGGAAGAAACCAAATGTGCATCTGTCCAAAATAGCAGTATAGTTCTTCTCTTGACCGCAACTGATACGCCTGTGGTGTAGGGAGACTAGAGTTATTACCCCTAGCTAATCCTACGATGCACCTGGTTGTCTTTGCTAAAATAGTTTGTAGCTAAGTTAGATGAAGATTAGCCTGCAAATATTAAAAGATATGAAAGCCGGTGACTACGTTCGGTCTGTGAAGATAGGAAGTGAATGAACAGTGAATGGTTTGTGCAAGAATTTTCCTGTTCCTTCTTGCCTTAGATGCCTCGTCACGTGTTTTCTTCCCCCCACCCCCGTCACTGTGTGTCCCACCTCTAAGAGCAACCCCCATGTAATTGGCTCCTCCCCGCTCCTTCCCCTGTTCAGCACTAGTCCAGAGGAGAGAACAGAGTGGTACCTTAGAAGCATCCTGGGATGCCTTTGTAGTCACCAAAACAGTAACAAATGAGGAGCTGTTACTTGCTGTTTTGAACTGGAACTGCATACAAATGTTCCCTTCTCTTTGCTTGGCAGGTGGAACCGGACAGAATATTTCTGTCCATAAAACCCCCAGAAGCCCCCTGAGTGGGATCCCCGTGAGGACCACTCCAGCTGCTGCTGTTTCTCCAATGCAGGTAAGAGAGCTTTGGCCACGTGGGTGGTGGCCCGTGCCACGTGGTATCATCGTGGTGTCTTGTGCCCAGGCAAGTCGCAAAGGGAAAGTGAAAACCCAATTGTTTTATTCTTTGAGGCACATTGAACGTCGTTTTTAATAGGAGTAAGATAATAATAATGAAACTTTCGTTAAAAATTACAATTCTAGGGGCGCCTGGGTGGCGCAGTCGGTTAAGCGTCTGACTTCAGCCAGGTCACGATCTCGCGGTCCATGAGTTCGAGCCCCGCGTCGGGCTCTGGGCTGATGGCTCGGAGCCTGGAGCCTGTTTCTGATTCTGTGTCTCCCTCTCTCTCTGCCCCTCCCCCGTTCATGCTCTGTCTCTCTCTGTCCCAAAAATAAATAAACGTTGAAAAAAAAAAAAATTACAATTCTAGGGGTGCCTAGGTGGCTCGGTCAGTTAAGCGTCCTACTTCAGCTCGGGTCATGATCTCGCAATACGTGAGTTCGAGCCCCGCGTCGGGCTCTGTGCTGACAGCTCAGGGGCTGCAGCCCGCTTCACATTCTGTGTCTCCCTCTCTCTCTGCCCCTCCCCTGCTCTTGTGTGCGTGCTCTCTCTCTCTCTCTCTCAAAAATAAACATTAAAAAAAATTTTTTTTTAATTATAATTCTGGGCACCTGGGTGGCTCAGTCAGTTAAGCATCTGACTCTCGATTTCTGACAGTGCAGAGCCTGCTTGGGATTCGCGGTCTCCCTCTCTCTCTGCCCCTCCCCTGCTCACACAGGTGCACTTTGTCTCTCTCTCTCTCTCTGTCTCTCTCAAAATAAATAGATATTTTTAAAAAATTTTAACAATTGCAGTTCTGAGGCCTGATAAAGATCCAAGAGAAGCACTCTAAACCTCATATAATTTTGTTTGTAAGGTATATTTAAAATTTTCAGTTAACCGAAGATTGTAATTTTTACCAGAAGTGGATGTTGAACTAGTTATTTTTCTCAAAGAATTGTGTCTTTTCTTTTTTTTCCCAAAAGCCCCCCAGAGAGAGAAAACATTTATAATTTGTAAGTTTTTAGAGTTCACTGGGTACAATCTGTGTCACCTTTGCCGTTTTGTGAAGGTTCTAGATCAGAGCTACTTGGCATGTCCAGAGTCCAGAGTGCTAACCATTACACCATGGAACCCACTCGCTACTTGGCATTTTCTAAGGCTGGGGCTTTCAGTGTTATTAGTAACATTCAGCACTCTGCTCTCTCTGAGCCAAGGGTAATGTTGTCATTAACAAGTACCGTTTTGGGGCGCCTGGGTGGCTCAGTCGGTTAAGCGTCTGACTTTGGCTCAGGTCATGATCTTACCGTTTGGGACTTTGAGCCCCACGTTGGGCTCTGTGCTGACAGCTCAGAGCCTGGAGCCTGCTTCACATTCTGTGTCTCCCTCTTTCTCTGCCCCCCACCCCCACTCCCGCTCACACTCTGCCTCTCTCTCTCTCTCTCAAAAATAAATAAACATTAAAAAAACATATATAGCTTGAATGTTTCCGTATGTACCACCCCTGCAGCCAACACCAAGGTAAAGCATTCTCGTCACCCCAGAAGGCGCCCGCATGCCACCACCCAGTCAGTAATCTCTTAAAGTAGCCATTATTCTGACCTCTGTTACCATTGGATCAGTGTTACGCTGACCTAACCATTGTAAAAGGGAGTGACTTAAAAATCTCCCTTGCTCCCTAGCCCCAGAAAGAACCACTGTTGATGGCTTGTTGTGTATCCTTCTAGATGTTTTTCTTTAGCATAAAAGTGTGTGTGGTTGGGGAAGGGGGAGGGAGAGAAAGTTTTATAAATTAGATTACACTAAACATCATTCGGACACTGGCTCATTCCACTTTGTCGTTGGAATGGAATCCATGAGGGCAGGGATTTTTATCTGTTTTGCTTGCTATTCTATCTTTTGCCTGGAACAGTGGCCGGCACATAGTTCTGTCACAGTACAAGCTCAGTAAATATTTGTTGAATGAATGAAGGAAGCTATCAGAGACATCTTTATATGTCAGTATGTGGAAAAAATACTGCATTCTTTTTTTTTTTAATTTTTTTAATGTTAATTTATTTTAGAGAGAAAAAGAGACAGAGTGTGAGCAGGGGAGGGGAAGAGAGAGAGGGAGACACAGAATCTGAAGCAGGCTCCAGGCTCTGAGCTGTCAGCACAGAGCCTGATGCGGGGCTCGAATTCATAGACCGTGAGATCATGACCTGAGCTGAAGTCAGACGCTTAACTGACTGAGCTACCCAGGTGCCCCCCCTCCTTCTTTTTTTAAGGCTGTATGTAAATACCACATTTTGTTTATCCATTCATCTGTCCATGGACATTTAGGTTGTTTCTGCCTCTTGACTATTGTGAGTAATGCTGCAACAAACATGGGTGTGCAAAAATGTCTTCTAGATTCATTTTTTTTGGATATAGACCCAGAAGTGAGACTGCTGGATTGTGTAAGAGTTCTATTTTAATTTTTTGAAGAGCCTCCCTACTATTTTCCATAGCATGTGCACCATTTTATATGCCCACCAGCAGTGCACAAAGATTTTAATTTTTCTGCATTTTGATCAACACTTGTTATTTTCTCTCTCTCTTTTTAAAATAATGACCCTTCTAACAGATGTGAAGTGATATCTCATTGTGGTCTTGATTTGCATTTCCCTGATGATTAGTGAAGTTGAGCATCTTTCCATATGCCTGTTGGCCATTCAGAAACAGTATTTTTACACACCTCCTTGAATATACATAGAATTTTCCAGGAAGGTACTCACAAAGCTGATTAATTATGATTAATTAAGAGAAGAAACAGGTGGTGGGAGTGAGAGGGAGACTTTCCATTTTATGTCCTTTCTGTTCTTTTGAGGATCGGGCCAATTGCATTTATTACCTATTCAAATAAATAAGTTGTTTTTTTTTTTTTTTTCC